CTAATATTAAATGAATCTGCTCTCTCGGGCAACCGCACACACACAAATATGTAGTTCTATTAAGAAAATTCCTCTCAAGAACATATGCACCAAGAAAGTTACTCCAGGGTGGTATGAGTCAAAATTGATATGGTCAAAATTATTATTAAAGAAACAAGAAAGAGACAGAAAATCTTGATATCATAATTTGCGGTCGATCAAAAAGTATGCAAATTCATAAATTATCAAGACTACATTTGCGGCAAGTTCATTAACATTTAATCAATTCAATCAATAAAAAGTTTCAATTGATGATCTGACTAGATGATCTTGTAGAATGTTTTGAGAAGCGTGAGTTCTAAGTTCGAGCTGTATTATATGTAAATATAGTACATAACAAGTTTTATTTCGGGGAAGGCATGATCAATAATAAAATAATTATTTCAACCCTATTCATGATAAGAAACCAAATGAGACTATTTCGAATTATATTTAGTATCTGCATCATTCATCGTTCGACCTCATGTTTGATTATAATTAAATGATTAAACTACAAGCGTAACCCATGAATTAAATGCTACTCTGTTTCTATATGCGATATAACATCTGATCGTGCATATCGGTCGAATCACACGAAATGTTCTTTACGTTCTTTTGCTTTTGCTTTTGTTTTGTTATGACGACGGACTATATTAAAGAACAAAAGTTCATGCTTAGGCTGCACATTAAAATCTAAAGGAATGCAGATGGCGTGGGAAGACGTTTAAAAGCGAAATAGTTTTACTACCTTCTCGTATGGGTTATGTCTTATAATAAATGTGGTCAAGAATCAATTAAGAAAATAACTAGCTGTAAGTGGAATTCTGTCTTAAGGCAATTAAGGCATCGTGCCTTAAGGCAAATTGCTAGAACTTCCCGTACCAAAAATTATTTTTTAAAAACAATTAACATTTTGAAAAAAAAATTACTTTGAAAGAATAAGATTTTGAGAAACTATAAATTGGACAAAAAATAACTTTTTTTTGAAAAAAAAATTTTTAAAAAAACATTTTTTTTAATTTTTTTTTTTTTTTTTGAAGAAATTTTTTTTTCTATATTTTGACATATTGTAGAAGATCTGAACTTTTTTTCAAAGCAATCGTACTGCTTTAACTGCATAGGAACAAAATATAAAGCGCGTAAGCGCCGCGTCGCTGTCTAACGCATAAGCATTGGTACGGAAACCCATAGAAATGTTAACAAAATGTATACTTATTGTTAAAATCTCTATAAAATATCTGATAATTTGATGTGCATATGTCTAATGATCATTTTTGACCGCCAAATGGCTCATTTTTTTACTTTTTCCTCCATATCTCCGAAACTGCTAGACCTACCTTCATGAAAATTTTATCGATTCTTCATCTTGGCAATACAAGTGAAATGTTTTTTGAATTATTCAAATCTGACGCTCCGTCTCTTAAAAACTGAGTTACCGTTTTCGGCACTTTTTGCCCCGTATCTTCGGAACGGCTAGACCTGCCTTCGCCAAAAACTAATCAGCACGTCTCCTTATCAATACGAATCGAATGTTTTTTGAATTATTCAAATCGGTTGATCCGTGTTCCCGAAATCGTCGACAAAATTTGTATCCGCACATACATACACACACGCACATACATACATACATACATACATACACACACACACACACACACACATACATACATTTTTCTAAGGTATGCCAAAATGTTCAAAAACCTTTAAAACGTAAAGATATATAAAATTTTCATTTTCGATTTTTTTGCGATTACTATAACTTGCCCTACGGAAGTTAAAAGTCGCGACAAATGAAGAATAATTAATTAGTTTTTTTGATAATTTGGTAAGAATTGCATCCAAGCACAGATTTATTTTATGGCATAACATGAATATAGTAATTATATGCTGTTTAACATCCGCCAGCGTAAAATCTGAAACTTACTTGTGGGTTGCGCTATAGAAAAACCCTAACTGTGAGCACAAGTTTATAAAGTGCAACGCTGATTTTTTCCGTTTTACTTGTCGGATGCGTCATGTGGGAGTGGTGCTTGATGTTAATGATGGTCCCGTAGCGAACTGCAAAGTTCGCGTTGGTAGGTATTGCCTGAAGACAAAAATGACTCATGGATCCTAACCTGTGTGTTGACTCACAATTCACAATATTTTGTCTGCACGATTCGTATGCAGCAGACGAAACACATCCAACGTAATAATTTCCTGTAAAAATAGTAGGGAAAGTTTCCTCCTCAGCGTAATCACGATAGAATATATACTAATATCAAAATAGATATTTCATTATGAAAACTTTTAGTTGATTTCATTCACATTATGTAGTGCACTTTGAAAATTTATATTGATTGTACAGTGAAAATAGATATATAAATATAAATATCCAATGGGCAAAACTTTATAATATTACCCTTAACAAAATAAGAGTTGGAAGAATTTTCTTTCATTCTTTATCGCCGCACGGTCAATTGAATATGAGTGTAGTTGTGGAGTTTTTTTCTTCTCACGAATTGGTTTAATGTCGCGCAATGACCACCAGATGTATATACAGCATGGTTCATTTCACATTTTAACGCTCCATTGCTATGTTCAATCATAAAACAAATATTCGCACATGTGTCTAAAGCTCTTAATGTAAATGTAAGTTTTCTCCCATATTATACCTTAAATGAATATATAGATTATATTGAGTTTATTCCATCAAATTATAACTAGTTGGTGTTGGTATTTAGCCTTGAGGCAAGTTACATGAACTTCCCGATATGTGTAAATAATCGACTTAATCAATAAAAAATAAATTAATTTATGAGTGGATTTATTACACATAATTGAAAACGAACGAACACGTTAACTCGGAGTATTTTCAAAAAGCAACTTTTCAAAAATCAACAATTATTATATTTGAACCAGTTTCCGTAGGATTTTAATGGTTTAGTATGTTTATTAAGACTAAGTACTATATTGTTATACCAAGTAAATCGTCTAATTTTAATTTTGGCTAACGTCAAAAAAACTACTCGTTTTCTCAAACTTTGATGAATTTTTAAAATTAAACTACTTGTCGTAAGGCCGTAATATTACAGTAAGTTCTATAAGACCATGATATATACCGCTAAAAAAAATCCATAAAAATCGGCTTAAATTTTTCGATCGGCTTGGTAGATCGTCGTACAAAACTGACAAACGATAGTTCTCATCGAAATACATCAAATGGCTTTTAAATTTCTGAAATCGGTTCAGGCGTTTTTGAGAAAACGTCGATGAAAGGTCCAATTTTGACAAATGCCAAAAAAACGATACCAATTTTTGTAAACTTTGACGAATTTTCAAAGTTAAACCAATTGTCGTAGGGCCGTAATATTTTAGTATGATCTAGAAGACTATAGTATCTACCGTCAAAAAAATAATAATAAAAATCGTCGAAATTTTTTTTTAACACTTTATTACTACAAGAAAACCGCCCGGCCGATCTTTACCAAAAACTAATAAGCACGATTTCCAATCAATATCTTTCGAACGGTTTTTGAATTTTCATAATCGGTTCAGAATTGCGGGCTAAAACGTGGACGAAAAATTTTTCACTTTTCTGCTATTTATAAAGAAACGTCTCGACCGATCGTCTCACAAAACTGACAAACAATAGTCCTCGTCTAGATACATCGAATGGCTTTTAAATTTTTGAAATCGGCCCTGCCGTTTTCGACAAAACGTCGATTCACGGCAAAAAATCTGTTCACATACATACACACACACATACTTTTTGTAAATTTGGTCTCGTTCGATTCAGAATGGCTTGAAACGTCGAGAAAACATAAAATTGGCGAATCGGGTTTTTTGCTGAAACTTCTCCTTCTCCTTGAAATGTATATATCACGAGTTTTAATAAAAACTCGTGATATATACATTTCAAAATCATTTACTTAAACTAATACAATTGTTCTTGAAAGGGTGGAAAACTATTAATAGATAGATACACAGAAAACTGAATGACTTGTTATGCAATCTGAATACATAATATATTTATATATTCAAACTACAAATATAAAAACGAAACAAATATTCAATTTCAAAGTAGAGAAAAACGCTTGTTATGCATTATTTACTAGTTGTCACACATCTGGTCAGTTGGAGCAACGGTATTTTGGGTCATTATATATTTTACGTCTTTTTCGGAGATGACCGTGACCTTTGAGCCGCCCACAATAGACCGGCTAGCCATCTCAATTTTGAACTCTCCTTCCCTGACCGCACAGAGCGAATCGATACTCGCGCCGCGTGATATGATCTGCACACGAGGCTTTGAGAATGCCTAACAGTAAGTGACATCATCGCCACGATAGAAGTATTCAGCTAATGCTGACTGTAATTTATATATTTACAGTAGAAGATATATACAAAGACATTCAGAGATTGAGTTGACCTTATTGCTAATTGACCGTAATGAAAAACAAAATGCTCTTTGTGAGCTACTTCTGTCTCCAAGACGTAAGTGAGTATAAAAATTTTGCAATAATAGTAGTTCACAAGGAATGACAAAACTTGAAAAGGTTTTAATAGACCTAGTTATCTGTTCACTGATTGACTAATTAGCTTATAAAGTCATTCAAGTAATCTAATTATCGTGAAAATAAAAAAGTGCCATTACACTCTCAATGTGGGAAAGGCAAACAAAAAGCTTTGTCTGTTTTCACCCAGCTCCATAAAAATAGCGTATTGTGATTTTGCCAAAAAGCTAGATTAAATACATTAATAAATCTCTTAAATAATTATTATTCTACCATCTTCTGATTAGAATTATTAAATAAAGCTAAAAACAACTAAGATCCATAAAAGCCAGAGTCATAACTCATCCTCACGATTCGCGTGTGGTTCACTAATAATAACTGCTACAGTTCTTCTCTTAATTTATAGTATTATCATGCTATTAATAATATCTAAATAATTTTAGCCTTCTGTTCAAAATGTGATAAATGTATTTAGCAAATTCTTACCTCGTAAAGTAGTTGCCGTTGAATCCAGTAATCCCTGCAAAACACCTGAATTGTGCTTTAGCAATGCGACGTAATCGTCAGTCGTACGTCGTAAAAGTAGCTCTTCTGTTGACGGCGAACAACAATGACTTTCACATAGTGTTCCTAGAAACAAAAACAATTACATGCATTGAAAAAGATATCTCAAATTAAACTCATTAATTAGCAACACTAATATGGATCGTCTTTATAAACATATTCATTCAGATAATTAAAACGATTATTCATAAAGTATTTAAATGTAAATGTAAGAAACTTAAAACACTACATAATAAGACACTTAAGAAAATACATAATAATTAGTTGGATTTTATAAAACGCAATATGGCAACAGATATTGAAGGTAAATACATTATTCATGACTACCAAAAACAATGTTGAGAAAAGACATAAATTAAGCATTAAAATTTATATTAAGATTCACGTGGTTTTAAAGTTTTTATTTATTCTTTTCAAGCAAATGATGAATTGTTGCTCATATAAAAATAGAATTAAATTCGCATTTGGAGAACTAAATTATTCATCGATATAATTCTTAAAATAGGAATTATTTAAATTAAGTTAAAATTTGCTTTTGTGAATTTAAATGATTGCGCGCCAAATGTCAGTGATTGCGATTAACATATTCGATGTTTTGGGATATTCATGACATTTCTATATATATATATATATATATATATATATATATATATATATATATATATCGAGTTAAGTTCCTCGCTAATAATTGCTCAAGAGCTAATGTGAATTAAACAAAAATGGCGGCACAGGCAGAGAGATATGTTAATAGGCGAATAATCATCACCAAGATTGTATTGAACCTTAGAAAGATATTTGATTGTGTAGGCTATTATTCATTTCATGTACCACCCACTGAAAATCGAGTTAATTTAAACTTAGCGTCCGTGAGGTATCGTTAGGAGGTAATTTCATACTTTCATTTACATAAGTAGATCCTCATATAAATATGACACAGCAAACACGAGATAATCATTCGACTTCAACACTGCTGCATATCAAGTGCCACGAGTAAAAAACCTTAAGTAAGCATATATTATGTTAAAAAAAACACATTAAAATTTTTTAACGCTGATTTAATACAAGTATATAAGATAATAAATCAGTTATTTTGTTATTGTAATAAAAAAGAAAAAGTGATTCATATTATAGCTGTGTTTTATTACAAGCAGCAATGCAAATATTAAATTGTAAAATTTATGACGAATAATCCCTGCTTCTTGAAATCATATTTCTTTCTCTTGAATGAAATGAAATTTTATATGCGGCATAACTAATAAATTATATTTTTTATATAGCTCATGATACATTAGGCTTGCTTCATTTTGAACCCGAATCACCCTTCTGGGTAATAAAATCGATAACAATCTAAACATGTACTAAAGTCAGTCGCATTTGAAATAAATCGCAGGGCTTTGCAAATATAATCCGTTCTGCTACTATAGAGATCAACTACTCATTTTTGTGAAACAAATAATAATTGTAAAAACATGGAAATACAATATTTTCTATACATACAGCATAACTATCAATTATATCATCATCATTGTATGATGGGCTCGCCCGTAGGTAAGCGGTTAAGAGCGACGGGACCTGAATCAGAGGTCCCGGGTTCGATACCCACTTCGAGCAGCCTGTTGTCAGGCAGCAGTGACAACGATTTTCACTTGGAAATATAGATAGCAATATATTTCCAAGTGAAAATAGCCCTTGCCCGGCATTGCTGCACCAATAAAAAAGTTAGCCCTATTAGATTAAATCTAATAACAAAAAATCATCAAATATGGATGGATTAACCATTGGGTTACCATCTAAAAAATACGAAGAAAAGAGAAGTTTCAGTCCAACAGCTCATAGGACGTAAGGTTCTGATTGTTGTTAAAACATATTTAAAAAAATAATAAAAAAAATCATTGTATTTTAATAGTTTTGGAAGATGCAGATGTTAATATTGATTAGATTAGTAATAGAGAAGCATCGAAAACTAGAAATGTGAATTCAAATTACAATCAAGAAAGTTACCATTAACCGACTACACAGTCTTTTATTATCTGACATTTCTACCATCATTGTGGTTTTTAAATTGCAAGCAATATACAAAAATATCCCACTTCTCCCCATCACATCTTGTTGCCGGCTGGCAATGTATTATTTATTGTCAGAGCGTCTCGCATACATTTAATGTGTCTATTGCAATCAATTTATTAAACGGGCAATTTTGCGCTAGCGTTCAGAGAATAAGATCGTGTGGACTTTGAGCAGTCTAGCAAGACAATAAAACAATTCAATGTTGGCAAAATATGATAAAGCAAAGAAATCACGACATTGCATTTATTTGATTTATTCTTGTATCGCATATATTGAATCTATTGAGAAATATTAATATTTAAGTTATGGTTGACCTGTATACCGTATAAGGAAGCAACCATACGAGTATAATAAATACATTTTAAAATGTTTAGTAAAAATGCAAAGTTAAATAGCAAAACTGCAGTGAACAAAATATCACTGCACATCAAACTGCACTTCAATATGTAATCAATTTACTTCCCGTCATAGCCCAATTGAAAAATTTTTACTAATCAATTTACGAAAGTAAATTAATTCTATGGTAGAATTTAGTAAAAGTACTAAATTATATATATATATATCTACATATATATCAAAATAAGTCGGGTTTTCCTTTCTGACGATATAACTCCAGAACGCACGAACCGATTTCGACAATTTTGCATTCTTTGGAAAGGTCTCGGGCTCCGCAAGGTTTTTAGGTAAAAAAATTAGTGGTGCATAGCATCGTGCCTTAATGCAAATTGCTGGAACTTCACGCACCGTAATTAAAAATTTGTGTAAGGACATTAGTGAGAATTATCAGAATTATTCTTGGTTGAGTCAACGAGCAATTCTTGCCGCAAAGAATAATGATGTACACGCACTGAATTTCACCATTCAATCAATAATTGCTGGCGGTTTAGTGACATACCAATGATTCCGACTGGTCTTCCGTTTGACTTCAAACGATTGCAATTTCCAGTTCGCCTTGCGTTCCAATAACAAGCCGCAAAGCCAATCGCTTAGTGTTTTCGGGATAAATTTCAAATAGATTATTCAGAAAATCATTGTTTTTCACATGGGCAGTTATACGTTTCCTGTTCATGAGTTGGAAAACCATCCGCTTTGTTTGTGTTAACGTCAGACCAAAAAACAAAAAATGTGGTTTACCAAAGAGCACTTCAATGAAACGGATAATTTGCGGATTCACTTTCATTTACTTAGAGAAGTTCAACTAAAAAACACTTCATTTTTGTAATCGAAATAAATTCATTACTTTTGTGTAATAAAATCAAATTTTTCCTTTTCAAATACAAAACAAACAAAAAATTTCTTAATCTTTCTCATGAAACCATCTGGTGGCGAAACGGAGTTCGTCGGGTTTGCTAGTATATATATATATATTATATATATATATATATATATATATATATATTATATATATATATATATATATAATCAATATTTTTCATATTTCAAAATGTAAAGTCTCATGTGGCAAAATGTACCCAGTCGTAAATTTTCGTTCCACTTTTTTGCACAGTGTCATTGATCTTCATAACAAAATACCAATTGAAACATGATACATTGACGCGGATTGGCGCCATTATAATTACGTTGACACATTATATTTATCAAAATATAGCACGCAGTCAAAATTGTATAATATACGTAACGTTCGTCATTGGTTCCATTAATGCACGGATATATATCAATCAAGCCTGGTGGACTACTGTTACTCTACTAAAAATAAACCAGCCAGAGAATCAAAGGCGTATGCAATTGTGAGATTGTGACCCATGTAAATTATTGATCTCTATCAATTTTAAATTGATTTTGCTTGATTACAAACGGGTGAAACAAAATTGATCAAAATGTATTTTTATAAATTCCGAATAAACTTATTGGAAAATTCACGATCAAAAATTTTACATTGACAGTTAATCAGAAATTTCAAAAATCGAGCGATTCAAGTAATTTATTTCCTTGGCCGACAATATTAACTAATAAGTGGGTAACATGCATTTATAGAACTTGAATGCATTTATTCAAAGCAATAAAACCATGAATTGCCCGCCATGAAAACTTGCCCTAAAGATATGAGGTACTACATAAGGACATACATATATGCAATGTGTGCCATTTACAAACCACCACCAAGCAGGTAAAAGCAACAAGAAATGGCAGATGATCAAAAGAGCACTTAATCGAGGATTATAGATCCATGTCAGTGTGATCAAAATATATAATGTTTGCCATTAATTTTATTATCATCCGTGATGTAAGTCTTGTTATTTTTTTAACTGCATTTCCTGCTTTGCAGATACGCTTGCTTTGATTAATAAAGAAAACAGTTCTGTGTTTTAATCTGGCGTTTATCATTGATGATCATTGATAAAAACTTACTTTTGGCATTTGAGTTCAGATTCTCCACGAAAAGTTATCGTCATTTATATTCAATTTGAACATTTAAAACATAACAAATGTAAGAAGGAAGTAAGCCGTACACGGCATATCAATTTAATAGAATAATGAAAATAGGTCGTTCCTCAGCTTGCATACAATGTATTGTAACTACTGCATACTATTTTAATGCGTTATTCTTTTCCACGCTTCAATAGATAAATTCATGGGGCATGCATAAGTAAACCATTCATACGCTAACTAGAAGGCTTTATGTTAGTAAAGACTAACAAGCATTGCTTTCAAAAGAAACTACATAAAAGAAAAGAAACGTGAGTTAATATTACGGATAATACTCACAAAGTTTGTCTTGGTAAGGATTTAAGGAAAACTTTTAATTATTTCACGTTTGAATATAATTATGTTGTTAATAGTAGAAAATGAATATAAGATATTTCGTAGTTGTTACGTAACAAAGTTGTACAGTTTTGAATGGATTTTAATAAAACAAGAAGAAGTACATGTTTCCATAATTAGTAAAGAAAGCAGTAAACTAGCTATTATAATAATTACATTCATTCACAATTTCAAGGTGTAACTCAATATTTTTAGAAGCAGACATGCTGTCGAAG